TTGTCAGGTCGATTTCCTTTAACCTTTTCTGGAATTAGCCTTGTAGCAAACCTTTGCACTTTCTCTAATTTCTTGACGTACTTGTCCAGGTGGGGTTCCAAACTGGTGCTGCATACTCCAGTATGGGTCTGACATACACGGTGTACAGAGTCTTGAACGATTCCTTATTGAGGTATCGGAACGCTATTCTCAGGGTTGCCAGACGCCCATGTGCTGCAGCAGTTTTCTGGCTGATATGTGCTTCCGGAGACATGCTCGGTGTTATACTCACCCCAAGATCTTTCTCCTTGAGTGAGGTTTGCAGTCTTTGTCCACCTAGCCTATACTCTGTCTGCGGTCTTCTCTGCCCTTACTCGATCTTCATGATTTTTCATTTGGCGGGGTTAAAGTCGAGGAGCCAGTTACTGGACCACGTGTCCAGCCTATCCAGGTCTCTTAGTCCTGCCTGTTCCTCATCTAATTTAATTCTCCTCATTAATTTCACATCAACTGCGAAAAGGGACACTTCTGAGTCTATCCCTTCCATCATGTCATTCACTGTGTGTGTGTGTGTGTGTGTGTGTGTGTGTGTGTGAATGTACTCACCTAGTCGTACTCACCTAGTTGAATTTGCAGGGGTCGAGTCATAGCTCCTCCCTCGCCTCTTCCTGTGTGTGTATGCCTTAGTTTTTTGTAGATTAGAAAATATGAGAGTTCATGGGAACGACTGACAGCTGAGGACTTGGAGATCAACACAGAGGCTGTCTGCGGACAAGTACTATTTACTTTACATCTAGATTAAGAACACGCACCCTTAACACGTACACGCACCCTTAACACGTACACGCACCCTTAACACGTACACTGTTGTGTATTAGTCCACGGAAAGCAAATCAAGAAGCCTTGACTGACATTACTGATCTCTTAATAAAACACAATATTCTGTTTATGGCATTTGATTGAGATGTTTCGTTTAACAATTAAGTCCATGGTGAGCGAAATGTCTCAGGAAATGCAATAAACCTCATACTGTGTTTTATTAAAAAAAACTTTGCCCTTAGATATGTAAATAAATACACGCACTAAATTCTGAAATTTTTGGGGCCCTTTTCCTAAAAGGTTTGATCAGCTGATGGGTTAGGTTTGGGGTTTGGTTTTTAGGTTGGGGTTAGGTTTGGGTTGGGGTTTAGTTTAAAGGTTGGGTTTAGTTTGGGTTTAGGTTATTAAAGTTAGGTTAGGTTTTAGGTTAGGTTAGGTTATTTTTAGGTTAGGTTAGGTTTTTTGGGTTAGGTTGGGGTTAGAAAAGGTTTAAAGGTTTTTGGATTTTAGGTTAGGGTTTGGTTTTAGGTTAGGTTGGGTTAAAGTTTTGGGTTTTAGGTTGGGGTTGGGTTTTTAGGTTGGGTTTTGGATAGGTTATTTTTGTTTGGGTTTTTGGTTGGGTTTTGGTTGGGGTTTTGGGTTGGGTTTTGGTTGGGTTAGGTTTTAGGTTAGGTTATTTTAAAGGTTGGGTTTTAGGTTAGGTTGGGTTTTGGGAAAGGTTTTGGTTTTTATGTTAGGTTTAGGTTTATTTTTGGGTTTTAGGTTGGGGAAATAGGTTAGTTTTTTTTTGGTTGGGTTTTTGGGTTTTGGTTGGGTTTTTAGGTTAGGTTGGTTAGGGTTAGGTTAGGTTGGGTTTTGGTTACGTTACGTTGGTTTAAACTTTTTAGTTTGGGTTTAGGTAGGTTGGGTTTGGTTTGGAAAAGGAAGAAATTTTGGGTTTGGGGTTTTAATTTAGGTAATTTTTAATTTAGTTTAATTAAGGTAAGGTTAGGTTGGGTTTTAGGTTGGGTTTTTAGGTTAGGGGTTGGGTTTTGGTTAGGTTAGGTTAGGTTAGGTTGGTTTTAAAATTTTGGTTTTGGGTGGGTTTTGGTTTTGGTTAGGATAGGCGTTGGGTTTATTGGGTTAGGTTAGGTTAGGTTAGGTTGGGTTTTAGGTTGGGTTTTAAAGGTTTTGGGGAAAGGTTAGGTTAGGTTATTGGTTAAAGGTTGGGGTATTGGGGGTTAAAAGGTTTTGGGTTGGGCTGGGGTTTGGGTTTTGGGGTTTTGGGTTAGGTTGGGTTAGGTTAGGTTTTATTTTTGGTTAGGCTAGGTTAGGTTAGGTTGGGTTTGGGTTTTGGTTGGGTTGGGTTTTTTGGTTGGGTTTTAAGTTAAGTTGGGTTTTTGGTTTTTTGGGTTTGTTTTGGTTTTAGGTTAGGCTAAGTTAGGTTTAGGTTAGGTTGGGTTAGGTTTTTTTAAATTTTTGGTTTTGGGTTTTGGGGTTTGGTTAGGATGGGGGTTGGGTTTTAGGTTAGGTTAGGTTGGGGTTGGGTTTGGGTTTGGGTTTAGGTTAGGTTAGGTTAGGTTGGGGTTAGGTTCGGTTGGGGTTAGGAAAAGTTAGGTTTGGGTTTGGTTAGGTTGGTTGGGTTTAAGTTAGGTTGGGTTTTGGTTTGGTTGGGAAATAGGCGGGGTTTTAGGTTTGGTTAGGTTAGGTAAAAGCTAGTTAGGTTAGGTTAAGGGTGGGATTTTGGTTTGGAAAAAAGTTAGGTAACA